CCTCAGCAAGAGCTAAAGCATAAAAGAGCGAAGCATGCACACACACACAGAGGACTGATGGATTACGGCTCTCTCAGCCACAGAGCTCTCTCAGCAGGACTGGCAGACTGAACAGAGACCCCGTGCAGGCGGAGGGGTGAGCCAGAGGGACGAGTAAATACAAAGCTGATGGAAAGGGCCCCATTGTGGGACCGCCTGACCAGCAGTAGGGCCCAACCTGGAGGTGATATGGAGCCAAGCAGATGACCCAACAGTGGGGAACCTCCAAGATCATTAAAGGCTTCAGTGTAGCCATTTGATCAGTGTTGAAACCACCGACTGAAAACACTGGACACAGCAAGCTGCTGTGTTTCCCCCTCATCTGGAAATCAATCTGCGTGTGGGTGGGAGATGGCTGTTTTCATTTCAAAAGTCATGTTGTACTGTTACTAAAAGAATGGTACGCAAAATAAAAGTGTGGAACATATATGGCCTGATCACATAACTATTGATCTACTTCATGCTCCTAAGACTAATTAGACATTTTACACGTTTTAGAACATCATGGAATCCCTCATTAGAGTGATATCCAAGTTCAAACCTGTAATAACAGTTGTTTTGGGCCCTTGGGGGTAGTAGAAACACGCTGTTATTATCACCTTTTAAATTGATATATGGTGAACTGCTCTGTTTTTGGTCATTTGTCATGTCTAGCAGATATGTACATGTGTTAAAGCTTTCACATGGCTGCAGATGAAAACACTCTATTAAAGTTCTAGAGTAACCAAAAATAAAAGTTCGGAGGCCAGACAGCTAAAGTAAGGTGCTTTTTTTATAACAACTTTTAATTTTTAAGAAGAGAACCTGCTCTCTTTCAAAGGTCACAAAGTCTTTCATTTGACATCATAAAGAGAAAAAAAGATCCTTCATTGAGACATTATCAGCGATTTCCAGGTTTTAGATGACATAGGGAAAACCATGAATGGATAACGTTGTGTTCCTATTGGTGGCAAACCTCAGAAGTGTTAAAAACAGATCACTCACCCAGCATGTTCCCACCACTGGACGTGATGACACGCTTACTCCATAACCCACCCCCAGCCCCCACCCCCTGCAAATCAGAACCACCTGCCCTTGGGCTCTGAGAACTGGCTGGTCTTCTCTCTGGACCTCCTTGGAGAGAGAGAGCGCCTCTTGTTTGGACAAACGTCAGGGCCAGCTCCGGGGCTCTTACATGAAACAAAGAGTGGAGTAGGGAATCTTACCCTTCACATAGCCTCCTACAACCCCGGGCCCCGTCTCCTCCCTTCTGAGCAGAGCCCAATATTTTTTAATTACGTACAGGAAACTCCTGTTACAAAGGACACGTTCTTAGTCAATCTGCAGGGAGGCTGTGAGGAGTTCTGGGGTCACCCTCCTCTTTTTTTCTCTCTCTGTCCTTTCTTACTAAGTGTGTGTGGGCGGTAGGTGTATCGACTGACAAACTGGGGAGCATGCCACCCAGAGATTCGGGTCACTGCTGACAGCCTACCTTCTCAAAGCCAAGATGGCACCTGGTCTGTAAATACAACCCCCTCTTAACACACACACCAACACCAAAACTATATAGCCAGCATCTCCACCTCCACAAGCCTCATTCCAGACCAAACAAATCAACCTCACCCCCAAATTCTTTGTTACATGCGCATATACTGTATTATAATACTTGTCAATTTGAATAATAATTTATATACCAGGACAAAGAAGTAGACATGTCAGTAAGCTTTTTTTTCACCCTCAGCTTCTTAGCTCCGGTGGTCTCTAACTGACAGGAACTCAGGCACTATTTGTTATCTTTAGGCCCAATAAGTCCATCTGGTTTTGGTTTGGCTCCTCGAGATCACCCCTGGAGATGTGGATGGAGGGAACTTAGGGGTGAGGCGGGGTGGTGGAGGGGCAGTTTGAGGAGGCTTTTTTCTCCTCTTAAATTGAATTTCTCACCATTCCAACCTGGGCCTTGGACCAGGGATAGAGCGAGAGCTTGCATTCGGCTTCCAACCCTCAGGCTCATGAAAAGCTATGCTAAAAAAGTAAGAAAGAGGAGGGAAAAATACTTGGAAGAAATCAGTATCACCTGTTTTGCCAAACGACTTGCATGTTCTCAGTAATGGCTATTAACTGACTCAGACTCTCTCCGCCTATGTTGGTAATAGAGGAATGTATGAACTCTCTCTGAACCATTCCTGACATGAAACCTTTTGTGTCTGATGAAATGATGTGTGAAAATAAATAAATAGTAGACTAAACAAAGCTGTCATTTATTCAGAAATTCAGGATGGAAAGTATTTGAAATTCATGTTTAGGGTGTTATATTTAAATGCAGTAAAAATGTTTATTTTTAATACATGCTCAGGGAAAATCTTTTCCAAAGAAAGCTAACCTCTGTAGCAAAGGTTCCTATAATGTTGATGGTTAAACATTTACAGTAGTCAGCATAAAAAAAATATAGCTATCTAGCTACATGTAGTTAGCCTGTTGTACCTGTGAATTTGTTTGTGTGTTGTGTGCATTTTAGGTATTTCCTGATTCATGAAGTTTATTGTTTATTTATGTTTACATTCAATATCTTAGGAAACATACTTATTTTCTTTTTTTAAGTGAATTAAGGATCTAGATAGGTGCATTCACATTTTTTTTGCGTGTTCCACTGTAGTTTCATCCTCGCATTTCACAATGGATGGTAAATCGAGTGAGTTGCAATATGCAACTTTACCACTAGATACCACTAAATCCTAAACACTGGTCCTTTACAGGTAGTTTAATGCAAACAAAAGCACTTTTGAGCACTTTTGCTGTTACCATCATATCATTCTGTGTTATATTTTTTTCTTCTTCAGTTGGAATTGATAGCTGAAGTTCTGTAAATATTCCATACAATTTAGAAAAGACAACCACTCCAGCAAAGATGTACAATAGCTAGCTAGCCATTTTCCCGGATCTATGTTTGTGTGTCCTAATCTGCACTTTAAATACACAGTATGTTTACATCAGCATTTATGTACAGTATATCCACAATCAATATCTCAGGAAACTGCATAAAAACATTTGTAAGATCTTTCCCATTTGCCAGGATGAGACTTTAACTTTTTTTATTTAACTTCATGACGCTTTATCCTTTTCACTTTAAAGGCTTTGTTGTTTAAAAAAATTTAAATTAGGCAACTTTTTTTTTTTTTGGTTACCTTATCTTCTACTTCTGTGTTATTTATTACAGACATGGCACATACAACTGGTCTAATTACCACATACATCCATTCTCTATTGGCTGCTCCCTGTTCCCACAGTGGATCATCTGTTTCCATGTTACAGGTAAACCGGTAAACCAACCCCGCATAGGCTTTTTACACCAAATGAACTTTCTGAATCAACCCTCCCCATTTATCCAGGCTTGGGACCAGCAATTATGAATGCATCCCCAAAGGCTGGGGAACAACCAATGTCTTGCCCAAGGACACTTTGACATGAGGTAGGGATTGAACTTCCAACCCTGGGATCAATTAGATGACCTGCTCCACCACCTGAGCCACAGCCTCCCCATACATGAGTCCATACTGCTTTATTACATTTTCTTTTTCAGCTGGCTTTGATATCTGATGTTCTGTAAATATTCCTATGGCGGTTTTCCATTTTTAGCTGCACATCTCTCTTTTTGTCCACTTTCTAAGAAGAAATTCCACAAAAGGAGCTCGAGCTCAAGTCGATTTCAGATTTTCATACGGATGGAAGACAGTTAGTTTCTCTCATCCATCTCTCTTGTCACTGTCCAACGCAGGCTGTATAAATCAAAATGGAATGAAAATGAAAATAACCCAAAACTGTGAATTATTTTGTTGGCCCTTACAATTTTATGGCCATGACAGTCTCTACAACTACTGGATGTAAAAGTGGTCAACTACTGGGTTTCTATGCTTTCTGGTGGTACAGTTTGCTTTTCTGGTATTTCTGTACAATTAAATACATGTTTCCCATGGTACTCCCCCATAAAGTCTGCACTTATCCCTGACTAACCCTGTGGGTTCTGTAAAATAAGACCTTACTGTCTTTTAAAGGATAGAGCAGGCTGACGGTTAAGGTATACTTTGTGGAAATGTAGCTTGAAATGTACACATGTTCCTCACATTTTTGTTTCTTCACTGTCATTCCTCTTAATTCTTTTTGTATCTCAGCCCTTCCTGTGACCTCTTTAAATACCGTCGATACCCACTCCAAAGAAATCTGAGCCAAAGCCCCATTCCCCCGACATCATCATCATCCCACAAACTCAGTTTATTTTCTCAGGTGAACAAACTGTACACGCTGGCTCCCTCAGATGCTCTTTATTAGGCTCCTGGAATCAGCTGTACCTTCATCTTGAGTAAGAGTGTGTTTGTGTGTTTAAGATTTAAATAGATCTGGATTGAGATTGTACAATTCTCACCAGAAATAGTTCACCACAGAGTCACAGATACAAAAAAATGCTTTATGAGGTGGTTTCTAATTGTCAGTTTAAAGATGTTTTGGTTTATGTTATACTGTAAAAACGACCCTTTATGTACCTATTGAGAAGCAGTATAATGTTCTTCAAAAACATGTTTAATTCCAATCTACTATGAAAAACAGACCTCATTCATATGTGTCAAACATGTGACATTGCAAAGGGGGCCTCCACTGAGTGCCTTTGAGTATTGAAAGAGCGAAGGTAGTCAAATCCCCATCTTCTAACTTCACTCCTTCCCTACCATGACCAAAAGTCAGAATACCTACAGTTTAAAAATATTACATTTTATGTCCATTTGGACAAAAGCATTCAACATGATACTGTAATTAAACTATTTACATTTGCAAGCCACTACTATCTATTGAACACTGGTTTGTATTTCTTTATTTTTACTTTACCAACTGTAAATTCAAGAAAATGTTTTCAAATTTTGGATACACTCGACTGTACTGTGTATTATCAAACTGAACTTCAAACATCAGTTATAAAAGAAAACATACTCTAATTTAAGACACAATTTCAGTTTAATGGATGTGTACACACTTCACAAATACATGCTGAATTTTGAAATTGTTAACACTCTGTGAGGACAACTTCTTTTACTAGCACTCTGTGTTCAACAACTTACATTCATCATGAAGTTGAATTAAAACCACATATATGCAGTTCTAACAACATTTTATCAATGTAGGCAACATTAGGTAGGTTGTGTATTATTTCAGTTAGTGAACCTTCACAGAAGGCATTTCAAAATTAACACTGTTTTGTGGAAATAGCATCTACAGTAGCATGAATTTGCAGCTATAGTGGCACTAGAGTGGTATGACAGCTCAAGCATACAGTACAATAATAAAAAGTTATAAAAAGTTTTTTTTTTTCTGTGTATCAAGTTTAAGCTTTACTGTCTGCTTTAATAAAACACATAGAGACATGCAACACAGAATTAAAATACTACACTTAGCTGATAAGACATTAACTGTGTTGGTGAACTGTTTTGTGTCTTATAAAGTATTTTCTTTATAAACACCTGGACAAATCAGGATGAGAAAGATCTGACCACACAAGCCTTTTCAGAGGAACTATGGTAGCTTCATGTATAATCTATGTTCAAACACATAACATTATAAAGTGCACATACTACAGCTCATGACACAGACCACACAAATTCCATATTCTCTCCATACGTACAATAGTCTATCCCCTAAGATATAATATAATAATATAGATTATATACATAATATATAATCATGCTGTAGCCTCCATACATAAGCAGCTGAGGTATGTTTCTAAAATTCTTATCTATCAACAGAAAATGAGAAAAGCAGCAGACAATAACTGCACAGTGTGTTTGGTTAGAGATATATGAGGATGGCTCAATGAGTGTATATTTAAAAGTATAGTAGATAGTACACTGTGCACATGCAACTTTCAAGCCAAAGCTGGCCCACACAATCAAGTTCTTATGATAATACCTGTCTGATGAAGCTGGGTCAGATTATGACCACCATTAGCACCGTTTAGAAATGCCATATACAAGGGAAACACCTTTCAAAGTAAAGCAATCCAATACAGCACTAGCAGAAACAACCTAAACAGTTGAGTAGCCATTTCTCTGACAGTTTCATTAATAACTTAATATTGTAAGCTTCACAAAAGTAGCATTTATTGCATGGTAATTCTACTTGATTGATTCATACTAAAAGATGCTATTGTTTTTTTTTATTCAGCCTTTGTTTCTCTAGCAATACAGTTTTAAATTGTTTATTATTTAAGGCCAAGACATCTTCATGAAAAGTGATTGACTATCTACTATTAAACAGTTTTTATCTGTATATTGTTTTTTTCTATTGCTTACATTAACACAACACAGTGGATCACATGTCAGGAAAAGGTTTTGTGGGGTAGCCAGAATTTCAGCCCGTGCCTTCAGGTGCATGGACTCAAAATTAGGTAATTTACATGGACAGGAGGGTTGGTCCAAGTGGCCACAGCTGGAGCCGTCACATCATTGTAGCCCTAAAAATAAGACGATTCACTCTTAGAAGGTTACAGTTACTGTGTATCTGGAACAATCTCTTGTTTCAGCTGCACTACCCTGCACAACAATTGAGACATGCCTCCCCCTTGTGGATGTTTTGAAAGAATTCCTGTGAGAGTTTAATGTTTGCAGTGATATTCTGATCTGTTTTTACAAATTACAACAAGAAACAACAAAACAGACCAACCTCAACTATCAGTTGTGGGCACACACGATGATCGCCGTGATCTGCACATAGTTTTCTGTGAAATAAAGCAAAATTAACATAAATAAATGATTAATTTGAACAAATGTGAATAATATTGAGACATAATATAGGTTTGCTTATTTTACTCACTGAAGCTTCTCTACCACATAAACAAATATTGAAAATATTAGTATTGCTAATATATAAGCTTCAGAAAGTGTGCAACAAACATATCTTTTCTTTTCTAGATCCTCAGTTTATTCATGATAAATGCAGACTAGGACTGTGTATTGTACCTTTGTATAAAGGCGATGATGAAGGACTGAGTCAGATAGCCAAGGATGTCTTAAGGCCTCAGATGCCCCCATCCTCCAACTGTTGACAAACACAACGACACATAAATATTACTCACATGTTAAAAACCACCACATGCTAACCGTGGCACACAGAAAGGCGGTAAATCAGAATGAAACCCTATGATGATACCCTTTATTCACGATGAGCAGTCTTGAGATGAAGTCCTTGGCTTCTTCAGATGTATCGACAAACTCTTGTTCCTCAAAGCTCCACTTACAGGACAAGATGTTATTCAGAGTCTCGTTGTCATCGTCGCCAAGGAAGGGACAGAGACCACTTAGACTAGCAGAAAGAGACAGACGGCCATTAACGCCAGTTTGTGCATGTGAGTGTGCGTATTTGTGTGTTTACTTACAGCATATAGGTGATGACGCCGAGGCTCCACATGTCTGTGTTGAACGAAACAAAGTCGTAGTTGATGACTTCAGGAGCCAGAAACTCTGGAGTGCCAAAATTCACTCGCAGTTTCTCCCGGGGTTTATATCTATGTGAAGAATGTAATTGAAATTCATATTAATGACATTTACATTTTGTATGTTTAGAGCAACAGTCAATGAAAGAGAAGCAAACACCAGTACTTACACCCTAGCAAGACCAAAGTCAATGATTTTGATCTTATTCGTGATACGGTTCACACACAGAATGTTTTCTGGCTGTAATTTATAACAAAACAAAACAACATAACTTGACTGAACTTCATGAAATGCATTAAGCCTCTTTTAAAAAAATATAACAACAAATATAAGTGACTTTGTTACCTTTAAGTCCAGGTGTAGGACGTACATTTTGTGCATGTGCTGCAGGCCCTCACAGATCTGCCTGATGAACACCACAGCGTCCAGCTCCATTAAAGTGTAGTTCTCATCAATGATCCTGTCAAACAGTTCCCCTCCTCCAACACTAAGGTTAAAGACAAATGCATAAAAAAAACACCACTGAAACACTAATGTAAGGCATTTTAAATCTTAAGTATTGTTTTATTTTAACATAATTCTTTGTCAAACAAAAGTGACAAAAAGTAACTGTACTTTAAACTACTTGGTATAAGATGTTCAATAAGCTTAGACGTTTAGAAAGAAATAAACATTTGTGCTGAAAATATAAAAGAAGGAGCATACTATTCAAGTACAAGGATGATGTCATTCCTTGACTCATAAGCTGCATAGAGCTGGATCAGGCTGGCATGGTCCAGATTATTCATGACCTGGATCTCATTCTTCACCACCTCCTACCAAAAACACAGGCGCAGATAGACGTACAGTAAGAAGCAGAAGCCGACAAACAGACACAGATGCGGACAAAAACACGGACACACAACACACAGACAAGCGAGCACACACACAGACAGACACGATGAGAGGTGTCAGCTGTTCTCTGCTATGAAACAATGCATCTTCTCTTCTAGGTCAAATATTTCTCACCTAGGTGAGAAGTATTTCCTCTGCTTCTGTTCCAAGTGGCCTTGTAGTGCACTAGTATGTACTAAAAAAATTGTAACTGACCCCTGCTTTTTATATGATGTGGCGTGACTCTCTATTATCAAAATAGGACTCATTCATTATCACGACACTGAACATCAGGCGCTGTACCTTTTCTTTCAGACTCCTGGCTTTGATGACCTTTGCTGCCAAAGTGAGGCCAGAAGAGTTTTCAACACATTTGTGCACCTGGCCAAAACGACCCCTTGAAGAGAGGGAGAGAAAATAATTGGATTTCAACAGTTACCTCAAAATTGTATATCCCAACAGCCTAGAAACAGTTGTGAAACAGCACAGGAGATAGTGTTTTATGTTTCCATGACAAATCAAAAACTGATCTTCCTTCAAACGGAGATGTTTGACTGTAAGACAGTGCGTGTACTTAATCTGTTATTTCATTAAATCTGAGCAGGGCTGTGTCTCCTCTTTGAAGACTTGGATTAACACTTAGTGATTAGCTACCAGCTGGCACCAGGGATACAGTTTCACATACCACTCAGTCCTGGGGTAAAAATAACTGCCGTGACTCTGAAGTTTTAAACCAGGAGAGGGGAGAAGAGAGGGGGTTACGCAATTAGGCTTCATAGGAATTGAGAACCTTTTTCTCACTGCCTTTCATCTGTGATACATAAATTGTTCATCAACAGCTTTCTTTTTTTATATTACATAAAGATTTTGAAAAGTGCTGTGCTCACCCGCCCAGGACTTCCTGCCAGTTGATGGTGTAGAAGTTGATTATCTGGTTGGGCTTGGCAGAGACGATGCGGTGATTGAAAGGAGCCGCTGGAGGAGGAGTGGTGTCTAAAGTAGGATGGGGGACCAGAGAAAAGACATAATCTGTTTTAATAAGTTATGCGGAATGTGAGAACACAGGAGCTGCAGCTACAGTGAGGCTTTTGAAAGGCTGCTATAATCAAGTTAGCACATTGTGTATTAAGGTGCTACGATAAACATCAACTCCAGTTGTTGTCTAAATATTACAGAGGAGCAACCATTCTTTAGCACAACACATCTTGTAGTCTGATTGCCAGCCAGCCAAAAGTCCTTAATCTGAATTCATACTACTGGATTGTACAAATTTAGTATTTGCTGATCCTCCATGAAGATGGTAAGAAAATATATGATGTTGAAATATAGTATGACCAATATCAGATAACAATATATTGGGTATATTTATTTTTTCAACATCAACATATAACATAAACAATTTTGATACTACTCCTTTAATTTTGAGTAAGATACATACAGTATTTTGTGTTTTACAGTTGAAAAATTAACTTGTCAGTGCTCTCTGGTGGACAAACTATGAAATGATAACACTGTTTCAAAGTAATATTTATTATTTGTGTGCTGCAATTTCTTAGTAATTTTCTTATTTATCAGCCAATTTATACACCAATACTGATATATCAGCATTAAGCTAATAATATAACAGCTGGGCTGGTGTATCAGTCTACCTTTAGTATGAAGTTCTTTATAAAACAACTATATACTCATATATTTGAGCAGTTTAATTCAAACTAATGTAAAGAATTCAACATGAAGATTTTGTAATGATTAACTTATTCTGGCACTGCTGACTCACCAATAAAGTACCGCTCTGCCTCATCCTCATCATCCTCCTTTGCTGCATCATTGTCCTTTCTCTCTCTCTCCAACCTTTGTTTTAGGTTTAACTTGAATTCAACCCCATCTGCCCTAAAGACGGCCCAGCCCTCAGACTCCAGACTCTGTTCATCCTCCTCGTCCTCCTTCTTCTCCTCCTCCTCATGCACCACCTGCACCACCTCCACCAGTTGGCTCTTTATGTGTTCCTCCACTACAATGTGTTCCTCAGTCACAAAGAAGTTGGCACTGCTGGCCTCTGATATCTGCTCCGGCTCGACCTCGGGAGATGGGGAGGTGTCTTTGTGTTCATCACTGCTGGAAAAAAAGTTTATTTTAATTTGTCTTTTGTTTGCTTTGTATCATTACAGCTTGTGTAGATGTGGATGAAGGCACATTTGAATTGATCTTTGCAAAACTGTAGAAACATGGTGGTTTAACATGGCGGACTTACTCCCTCCTATCAATATTATAATCCATTTCTGCCAATAGATCCTCCAAATTGTTACACACTACTGGACCAGTCACAATATCAATGAAATGTCTGGATGATTCAAACACATACAGTACATATAACAGGCCAAGCCTAATAATAAATTAAAACCTTAGCCGTGTGTTTAGAAGGGTCTCTAAAATATAATTGAATCCATAACAGATTAATGAGAGGATTAAAAAGATTAGAATTATTGAGTGAATAGCTTCATTTTTCTTTATTTTAATGTGCCAATAGTCTTAATCATTAATCTTATTTGACTAACCACCCAAAATCCCAAATTAGTAAATTTACTATAACATAAGACAAGGACAGACAGCTAATTCTCACATCAATTTGTGTTAAAATTACAATTCTAAAATAGGTAAAATAGCAGATTGATTTTCTGTTGATTATCTTATAGATTAATAATTTATTTTATACATGGACAAATACTAAAGAATTACATAAACATAGACTACCTTGCAGCAGTTGGTTCTTTTTCATCATCATGTGCAGCAGGGAACTCTGTGGTTTCTTCAGCAGGAGAAACAACCTCTTCCTCCACTTCCTCTGGGACTGGGGGCTTTTCTTCCCCTTTCTCTTTCTCAATATCCTCCAAATCAAGCTTGGGATCCTCCTCTGTAACCACTGGCTCTGCCTCCTGCACCTTTTCCACAACCTCCTCTTCACTAACCGCCTCAACAACCTCATCTTTTTCAGCCACGGCCACTTGCGAATCTTCACGCAGGAAATCCACCAAGTTGCAAGCAGGGGCTTCGGGTTGTTGATCTTTAGGGGACACTCCAGCCTCCAGATCCAGATATCCAGGGGTGATCTGCTGACCTGATTTCTCTGCATTCTCCCTGTTGAGTTTCTGCACCTCTTCAAGAAGCAACATCTGCTTTTTCAAGGAGATATTTTCTACAAAATGTCCAAAAAGAATCTGAATTTAGTCTCTCAAAACCTGTTAAATATCCACAAGTTTCAATATAAGATGCATAAACACTGAATACTGTTTATGAAAGGTTACCGGGGACATCAGGAGGCTGCCCAGTATTTCACTCTGACCTTCGTAACTTGGTGTACATGTAATAAGATATGTCTCTAACAGAGTAAGATGTTTCTCTCATAGCAAATTATTTTTGTATTTACATATAGCTCCTGCTGCTTCTCCCTGATTATTTTTAACTGGACACCAGAGTTTAAGCACTGACAGATATTTGTAGCATTAACTGTATATTGATCTCAGCACCTGCTGTGTCTGGAGGCTTCATCTTCTTTTGAGCTTTCAGACCCTTGGGGCTCAAACATGGCATATCTGTCCCATCTTTACCTTTGTGGTCCTTCAACTGTGAAATGCAAATAAAAAACAGTGAAAAGAGAAATCCGGAACATTCTGTTGTTACATTATCAAAGAAACTGTAAAAGTTTTTAAAGAAATATTGTGACATGTTGAATTTTGGTAGGTTTATCCTGCCTACAATAAACTATTCAGCTATACCTCACACTGTTACTTTTTAAAGGTCCCAAATCTAAAATGAAAGGCAACAGTGTTTTTTTCTTTCTTTGCCATAAAGTGGCATAGCTCCGGTGTGGCTACGCAAAAATCTCACAATGTTAAACGTTTCTTGTAAAGAAAGTCAGTCAATTATATACTTATATTAATATAAAGATAGCCCTTTCTGTTAAAACCTGAACAAGGCGTCAGCCTGCAGCCAGAAATGCAAAAGCACAAAAAACATACTTACATATCATAAATAAAAAAGACAAGTTCCTGCATACATGCAGACTGTACAATGAACTGCACAATAAACCTACAAATTTTCCACTTTTGCGAGAGGCGAGGAAATGCTTTGATCCATGGAGCTTCATCTTGTGAGAAGGCTGTGGAGAACTGGGCTCACATGCAGGTACTATCTCCTGATTCTCTTTACTGGCTTTATTAGAGGTAGTTTTCTAGTAAAAAGACAAGATGGCAGTGTTTAGTACGGTTATATATGAATTCACATGGAATGGAAGAAAAAGCACATGTTAAAAATGAATGTCAATATGACAGACAGGATTGATATGAAGTTAGGTTCACATATAAAACACACAATACAACAAATGAATTAAAAACCAAATTAATAATTAAATTAAATGACAGCAACAGGTTGATTTGATAAAGTTAGGCTCACATGTAAAACACAAGCAACACAACAAATGTATCACATAAATTAATAATTCAATGAAACAACATAAAATAATGAAAAGATGCAAAAATATAAACAACACTTGCTCTGTTTTCAGCTTACACATTAGCACATTTATTGCACGTCACCGTGTGCAGACTGACTTGTCTAATGGCATGCCTTTGATTATTCATGGCAGATGGATAGACAGCAGCAGGGCAGTGAATTTATAGCTTATCACTTGCCGCACTCGGCGATGGAATGCAAAGCCGACCCTGAGCGGAAAATATTACAAGTGACTGTAGGCTGTTGTTCAAATATTTCAGCTGAGGAAACTCACTAAACACTCTCTGATCAGGTTAGCATGGAAAAACCTGTCTTGAACCTGGGGGTGTCTCACATTTGCTTCTGAATACTGTTGTCAGGTAAACTACAGAGGGGATATTTCGAGTGCAGTGTTTCCCCAATGACAGCAGTGTTTTCTGGAGTTCAAAACTCTGATTGGGAGATTAGGGAATGTGTGGAGAGGCCATAAAACATAGGTTACATGTAAGATAGCTCACACCTCTGAAGATGGAGGAAGATGGAGAAACCACCTGACAAGTTCTCTGACAACCACAGAAATCCCCTGAAATGTGAGTCACACAGAAGCCATCAGATTGGTATGAGGTCATTAATCATCAGGATTTAATACAGCCACTTTGAATTGGCTTGAATTCAACAAGTCACATCTTAAATGAACACAAATATGAATCCACTACTGCACTATTGTACATTGTGCACAGCAACATAAGTATTCTTTCAAGTATCTGATAACCTTGCCGCATGATGTCATAACCACCACAATCAGGTGAGTTTTCTCTTGCTTGTAGGTCAGAGGAAAAGTGATATGACGCAAACCTCTGCAGCTATGCAAGTGATAGAAGTATGGTGATAACGTGCTTTAGGGTGTCTGAAAGTGCAGCCAAGCAGCACTGACCTTTATACAGGGTCATGGTCTGTGTACTGATTGTATAATATAAGCCCAAATCCTCAGGTTTTATTTGGAAGTGACTTCAGTGACACCAGAACCAACTTCACTGAGATTATATTTACATAAGTACATTTTTACTTTTCTGAACTTGTACCAGCAATTCCTGCAACACTGCATTCCGTGTTATATACAGACATTTACTGGAACCCCTAAATCAAAATGTACTGTGACAGCACTATCAGCAGGACTGCCAATAAAAATTTTATGAAGAGCTATTCTGTGCCGCAGGAAGTTCTGCAACTTGCAAAGAATCACATGGACAAGACTTTAGGCAATACCCACTGTTACCCACTTCACAGCAGAGGAAAACTGCTGGAAACTATATTGATAAAACACACCCTGTCCTAACTGGCAGAGATGAGCCGTTTAACTGAGTCAGTGAGAGAAACCAGAGAGATGGCGATTGAGACTGACTCATCACAATTCGTCGACACTTGACTCCTGGTGAGCTGAAGGGGTTAAAGCCCTTTTAGACCACAAACACTGCAACCCCTGATCCAAAAACAGCATTTCTAAACCGGGCCACTCACATTTCACCCCTGGCCTCACACCAGCCCTCTCGTGCCCTGCTGTGGGGTCCAGAGTGATACTTAATGCCCAAGGAAGGCCAAATGTGCACTCAGCATGGGTAGAAAAATCCCAACCCAGTGTAAATGGAGTTAAATTGGGGGTTTTATAATGAGCAGCAAGTGACTCATATTTATTGTGCAGCAAGCTTACGTAAAAAATTATGGCGTCTTATTATGCTTTACCCTTCAAATCAGCCAGTTGGCATAAGGTGTAAAATCATGCCAAGATCCTACGCACACCTACCGTTTACGCCCCCGGGGCTAATAACATACTGGGGAATTTAAAACAGCCAAGCGCAATGTCACATTACATTCGGTCAGAGAAACTGTTGGAGTGGAATCATGCTTTGGCTGCTATGATCATTTTCCACCTTGTTCTGCCAAGAACAACAAGATCTTTTGTAAGATCTAATTGATAATCAAAAGATCAGCATGGACATAGAGGTATCATTTGGCAACCACTGCGACAACGAACAAGAGCTAGGATGATCTGGTTGTACTGTAGTACCTGGAAAATGCAGCACATTTAGAAATCTAAAACTGGCAAAATAAAAACCTCTTAATTTCAGAGTTTCTCCACCATTCTTTTTTTAAATTAACCCCTGTTTGAAATATTGTTTTAGATCAAATACTTCGCTGACGCAGCGGGCAAACACTTTTTTGGTAGAATTAAACTGCCATGTACGAAGAAGTTATAATACATTAATTAGCGCCAATCGAGTGTCAGATTTATTAAAATTTTAGACACTTAAATGCTTATTTTAAAGTGTTTAGAATTCAAACCTCAGTTCATCACTAAATTCATGGAAAACCACTTTTGTGTCATCATGCAACAACACTAAGATGGCATTGTAGTTGCATTGACCGGTGTCTTTTTGATAAGTTTCACTTTCAATTTATAGAGAAATTTGAGTTTGTGTTTCACTGAGGATCTTTGTCATTCTCAGTGGCAGGGAAGCAACTGCAGTTGAAGGTTTATCAAACTACAGTTGATAGTTTACAACAGTTAACGATTGCATTGAAAATAGGAATATTGAATATAAAATATGGCTTATAGAACGTACATTTACACACACATTTACTTATTTAACTTATAATTAATATACATTTTTGGGGAATTATGCATGTTTTTGAAAATGTAAATTTTTTTAAATGTTGAGTGCCCCCTGCAGTACTCCAAAGTATCCCTAGGGGAGAAACACGTCCTTAATCCATATCAACAATAAAAACATTTGGAATATATTTATCCAAAACCTACTTTATACAAAGTGAACGTAATGCAGCTTTTTCCACATTTGGCTATACGGTCTGTACACACTTGAAGCAAAGATATATTTTTTTTAATTTCAGCGTTCTTAGTCTCACCTTGTCAAGCTTCTTGTTTATTGTGTCTGTAGATTTCCTCTTAATGGCTTGCTTGCCTTTATTGTCTTTGGGCTTGGAGCCCTTCCGAGCTGCAGGGCCTTTGAACATCAGCTCCATAACCCTCGAACTCTTCACCGTCTCCCCAATAAAGCTGATCATCTGCTGCATGCTGAGGACCAGTTTTTCCATCCCCTCAAGCTTCTGAGCCTGCTGCTCGGACCGCTGGTTCACCACCGACATTATGGTGCTCATCTCATGACAGATCTCCCTCACCTCTCGCCCCATGACCTGGGTCTGGTTCACCATCCTGGGTGGAAGATGGATCTCCTCCTTGTCAACCTTCAGATTCTCCATATCCTTTTCAATGAAGTCAATGTCTTGAGACATCCCATCTAGTCGGTTGAGGACCTTTTCTTGGATGTTGATGAGCTTGTCCATCTTACTGCTCAGTGACTCAATCCTATTTTGGATGAGGTCAAAGCTTGCGCAGTTGCCATCTCCTACTGTGTTCATCAACAAGGAACTCATGGCTTCCAGTGATATAAAAATCACGTTAAGACACCAACTTTAGACAATTGGACCAATAACGTCCGTGAAACAGACAAAAATACTTTTTCAAAAATCGTAGCCAGCTCTACCCTTCAGTGCTCCCTGTTTGTTTGCAAACTAATTAAGATACAGAAAAGTGGAACAGAAGTGATTCAAGCTAAAAAACAAAAACAAATCACCAGCAAAGCAGATGAAGATTTAAAACCTATTAAACTGAAAACTTGAGTAAAGTAAGCTTTACTTCTCTGTTTCTCTTACACTTTATCCCCGGTGCCTGCTTCTCTCCACACTAGAAATAGTATAAAGGATGGAGTGAGCCAGTGTCCCTAAATGTAAATGGACTGCCTACGTCAGCAGGGGTCAAGTGTTTGGGGTGGGAGCTTGGCACTGCTTGGAGCTATGAGACATTTGAGAGCCTTTAAGTGTTAAGCCCACCACCGTCACTCGCCTGCTAGGTGTCAAAATGGTCACTGTACACAGTACTTGTTCGGTGTAAAGTAAAACAAGTGTTTCAATGCTCATTCGTCTGTAAATTTGTTCCTATTCAAATGACAATGGCATTGATTTGTTGCAACAGATGGACATGTCTGGTCCACATCGTTGAGTGGACTGCACAAGTGTCCAACAAAGGAGAACAAGCTCACAGGTGGGTTTTATTTTTTCAAATTTTCAAATTATAATCAAACAGTTATTCAAATAATATTCATAGAAAAAGTCTGAAATGACTTGGCTGCTGATTATGTGGCACTGCTCAACGTTGGTCTGTCTGTGTGTACAATTGTGAATGAGAACCATGTTGCAATGCAAATTCCCTCTTTATCTCTTGAATGCCTGTAACTTGCACCCAGTGTCATTGGAAAGAGTAAGCCTGCAGTTCCTGGCCAAGGAGACCTAGAGTAAGATGTGCAGACATTCTGCTGAAAGAAGAGATGAGTGACATGGATGATTAATATGGTGCCTACTCTCTGACAAAAACATCCACTGATAACCTCCCTCAAGAAAGTAGGGGATCAGTTTTAACTTAGCTCTTGTAATATGACCAGAATCTATGTTCCCTATAAATCAAAATATGTATGATTTATTCCAACAACAGACATGTGTTTATGTCAACAACTAGGAATGAACAGACACTGAATAGACAGAGAAGAAATGCTATAGTCAAAAGTATTTAAATAACTACATGCTCCAATGCACTTACAGTTGTTTACTCAAGCTATTTCCTGACAACTTTGTTGTCAAAGTTTCAAAAACTCATTTTGTCCCCATAAATTTGTGGGTGATGGAGCTCAGGAGGAATCCAGCTTTGCTTAAGCCACCATGAAATACTTTTAACAACAGAGGCACAGACTGCAAACTGAGCCACGGTGACCCCAGCCAAACTCACCTCACTCTGGTGGCCCAAGCCAAAAATCTGGGCTCACGGGTGCAGGAACCAAAGAGTGATGTGAACCTGGCAGTTAAAGCAAAGTCAAACAGGGTAAGGTGAGGGAAGAGAAAGGGGAGGAGTTCACCTGTCAGCTCATATTTCATGACAAGTCACCACACCAGCTTGCATATTATTCTCTTTCACTTGCGCAAGATGGCTACAGCGGAAAGAACAAGTGACTCTGACGGGGCAGAAACAGATGGGGGTGAAACCAGCCATCAATCACTCAGGGAGGGACAGGGACGCTCACACCTGTCCTTGGATGCCAACAGATGACAGACAACGTAGGTCATGTGCAGCATGTTGTGTCAATTTGAGGGGCATGTATAGTCAACTTTCTTATACAGCGGTGTGCATGCTACAAGCCAAATGTTTTTAACACAAAAAATGTAAAGTATTTCTTTAAAAGTGGTAAAAAGACAACTTGAAATGGATTCTGCAACACAGGATTGTCAAAACTGTTATTTTGCTGCACATTAAAGGTTAGCATGTATGACTGCTATGACAATATCACATCATCTTGTATTCCTTAGGAGGGAGGGGGGACACTTTAAGGTTATTAAACCCTGCAGGGGAGATATAAACAGACCCCTTGGCCTCTGAAGCTAATGACACAAAGCAAATATCGTGTATATCACTTACACTTTACAGTGAAACTAACTCCAAAAAAAGTAACATCACCATGACTGGTACTCAAACTCGTCTCTCACCGTCTTTGCCAAACACAAGTATGTGTATGCCCAGCCTGAACACACACAGCCTGGCAGCTGGGAAATCAATGCCATGTCTACTGGTGCATGATTAAAATGTTGTTTAGTTAATGTGACAGCAAAATTATCTGGATGTCTGGAGGCATCCTTGACTGCATGAATGTTCGGAAAGGCTTTATAATATGTAACAAAGAGCTCCATGTTTGTGTGTGTGTGTCCTGGTTGACCTTGCAGTTTGAACACCTACTGACATACAGACATCAAGAGTGGAAAAAATGTAAAGGTAAATTGATATTCAGCAGAGGGCTTAGCTCCTTTAAATAGTAAAACTTCATCATGCAACCTTTGAAACTCGAATAATTATGAAACAGTATCTTGTATTTTTTGATGTCTTTTTAGGCTGTGAAGTGAAAAGGAAAGTCTGACTTATTATCAATATGTTTTATTGTAGGGCTGGCACTAATGATTATTTCCAATAAGGATTAATCGAACAGATTATTTTCTTGATTACTTGATTAATTGTTTGGTATATGTAATATCAAATAATTGTGAAAAATCCTAAACTGATGGTTTTATCAACCACAAAACCCAAAGATATAGGACAGAGAAAAGCAGCCAATCCCAAAATCTGAGAGGCTGGGATCAGAGAATATTTGGCATTTTTGCTTATAAAAATACTGATTATAACTGATTATAACATGCATAATTAGGAAAATATTCAATATCAAGACATGGTTTTGCAAAATAAATGGAGGCATCAGGGACATTTGTGCATGCAAACAACTGCTTGAAGCCATAAACATTCATTAAAGCATAAAGTTTGTATACAAATAAAGTAGTTGAGGCAGATGTTATTGCCTCTGTATAACCCCCTGTGAGTCCACATGAAAGTCAAAAAGTGCACCTAAACGCATAAATGTTTTTAGTTAAGAAAAGATCTGCTTTTCCTGAACTCAGTACTTGTGGGAGGTTATATGATTGAATAAAGTGACCTGCATAGGCCTCTTTTATTATAGGCTATTTGTTTGGCACTGGGACAAGGTGAATGGTTAAAAATGGAGCACCACCTCGCTAACAGAGAACACAATGTCCTGAGAAGCACTGGGGCTCTGTGCTGTGGCTACTGTCCAGTCATCTCTCCTAGTTTCCACTCACACACTTCGCACATTCTGCCAGCCCTGGCTATACTTTCTCTTGGAAACTTGTGGGCTTAAATGTGTGTGGCAGTCGTGAAACTTAACTCCTCGCACTGATGTCTAAGACGTCTCTTCTGTTCTTTCCCCATCATCTTGTGTTTTCTCCTTGCATGTAAACACATTTTGATGCTGCACTTTGACAGACTTTTTGGTTTTATTTATACATTGCTATATTATACTACATTACGCTGATTCAAGACATTAACTCCCAATATATATGTATATGTAGTATGTAATACATGCTCGTTTGCCTTGTGAAATGAAATAAATGTACACTCAAATTCAAGTATCCAACTGCTGAGATGTATAGGGTATGCACTGATGCCTTTTGGAATTGGACACTTTCAGAAGAACTAAATTAGGTAAAACTGCATGTGACTGGTCCAATTATTGACTAGGATTGTATTTTGAACAACAGGTGGCCTTGTTCAGCTGAGTAAAGGATGAACAGCGAGACTCAGATGTAAAGTGATGCTCCACCCAAAAACTTTAAAAAATAGTGACAAGGGAGGGAAAAGTAACACTTATAGAAACTTCTAAAACCACTCCTGCAGAATAATCTACTTCTCCTAATACAGACAAGTCTTCCTGACCCAGGGATGAGCAGGAGGCGGACAGTCTAATGTTTGCAAACATATACATGTGTCTGCTCAGACAGCACTTTGCGTGAACATTGTGACAGGGGCAGTGTTTTCAGCCATACTAGCATACACATGTACAGTAGAGAAGATAGTTATGAGGCAAAAGTGGTACTCATTGCTGGAATCAGCATATTTTCAGCATTTTACTAAGATTATTCATATTAAAATGGCCGTGTAATGGTAAGAATAATTTCAAACAACTGTGTAAAACTTTTATTTCTTTTCACCACAATTATTCTTACTTGTGCCTGAGAAACACTTTCAGTCAAGTACAGCGCCTGTACTTGGGGAAGACATTCCCAGATGCACTATTATTATCAGTATGGAAAGGTAAGAGGCGCTTTACATTGAGGATGTCATAAAGGGTATTAAAGGTTAGTGACAGAATGCAAAGAAAGCTTAGTCACATGCTCGTGGATCTACAACAGTAAATGTCAGTGTGGATCTACTAAATGCCAAGAGAGGAACTGAAACACGAGAGGGTGAGAGTGTTCAGCTTGTCTCTGAGGGAAACTATCACGGCATTAAGGATAACTACAGTATATGTGTATTTATAAAGATGTTTACTGAGTGTGTATATAGTGTATGTAGTGTGTGTGTATATATATATATATATATATATATATACACACATATCAGTATAAATATGCTGTCTACAATCTACAATGAAGACAACATGAAGTGAAATTTGGCCATATGGAAACAAATAACTGGAAGAAAAACTGAAATAACAGGGTAATTATACGCTAAATATGACTCCGCAGAAATGCTCTCTTCAGTTATTGATCTGTAACTTTACAGGTTTAAACCATTGCTTTTCCCAACACATGCAATGCAACGTCACCACTGTACCACACATACAGCGCTACATTTCAGAAGCAATGTATAACATTTTAATCACTAGATGGCAGCAAAAGCAGGACTTTCAAGCTATGTTTCATCACCTTGAAACACTGCAGTGTACCCATCAGGCTCTACCACTAGAGCTCACTGTATCTTCACCAGCAGATTCCTCTAAACTCTGCACTCATAAACACCAACAACCCCTTATCTCATGTTTTATCCTTCCTGCCGCTATCCGTAACATATCAAAACACACACGCATCATGAATACCAGTCTTATCTTTCACTCAGATACTGAGCATCGCATTACTGCTGAAAGGATTACCCACCATATGTTGAGCTTACTAATTAAATTAGACGTGACATTTAGCTGGAGGATAACCGAAGAAAACTGAGCGCAAATGTAAGCACTTGATTAAGGCAGGTAATAAAAGTAAGTGCTCACTGGCTTCAAGTCAAAATATAAATGTATAGAGTGGTAAAAGCAGACAAGAAATAAGAATAATTTATATACAAAGTGGCATATCCATTATATGAACATATGTAACACCTATAGGTTTATGTGTAATACAAAATGATTACATTGTGCCTGTCAAACCTAATTAAAAAGGTCCAGAGTGTAACATTTCAACTGGCATAAAATTGAATATAATATTCATATACGTTTTCATTAGTGTATAATCACCTGAAAATAAGAACTGTTTTTGTTTAGTTACCTTAAGAGCCCATTTTAGCTACAGAGGCAAGCAGGTCCTCTTATTTCCAGAGTCCTGGCCATGTTGAACCACCATGTTTCTACAGTAGCTCAGAACAGACAAACCAAACACTGAGCTCTAGATAGGGCCTTTAGTGTTTTTATGCTTTGTGACAACTTAGTTTTATGCTCACCTAACAACACTGAGTTTAGCTGTATTGCAGATAGTTAGTTTTTCAGCTAACAGATGCCACTGAATCCTACACACTGGTCCTTTAACTACAGAAATGTACTATATATGTATTATATATTAATAGCTTTCAAAAATAAAAAGAAACCCATTTCTACCAGTCACCAGAATTGTCTCTCTCAAAGGAAGTGGCTACATGGAGAGGCTACTTTACATGAAATTTGATGCTACAGTACAATCCAACAACACCATGCTTCTGCTCCCTGCTGCCAACTCATGTGTTGTGTTTAATAGAACTTGTGGGCTGGATATTGCCCACAGAATTCAAAGTCTTGTCGTGCATCAGTTATAAATCATGTATTTGAAGCCAACTGTGCATCACAGCCTCTTCCAGGAAACTAAGAATAACATGAATAAGAATAAACAGAACAAATCAAGTGGAAGCAAGGACACTGCTGCCTCTGCTGTCCATTTTTACCTACTGTAACTCACTGATTTTGCAACTCCGGATACTTCTGAAAGCATAATCTGAGAGGCAAAGTTCAAATTATGTTCAGTACATCAGGAGTAGAAAGAAAAGAAGAAACAGAACAATGTGTCAGTAAACACTTTTTGAAATGACTATTTCTCCAGCCTAATTGGAAATTCCTATGACGACAGTAAGATTATCAAGTAAGGGAAGTTATTAAATGTTGGAGTTCTACCAGCTGCTTGCATGCTTTCTGAAGACAGTCCAAAATAGTTGACAGGATCTATAGTATTCATAACTAATTAATGCATTCTGTTTAAATTAATCAAGAAACGATCATTTCAGAGAAAATCAGACCTGAGCTCTGAATACAATAAATTGAGATTTTATGCAGTATAACGCACATTCGTGTTTGTCCGATGCCTACTCTACAGGTTTGAACAATTACATGTTAATGCAACTTGACCCAAAGATATTTTCCTCTAAAACTTTTGTTGCAGCATGGCCATGGTAGACCTAGCATCCTAAAGGCATCTAATACAGGTGTTAGAAAATAAAGAAAGTCAGGAACCACTGAACTTTTGTTTTGTACACTCTTCGTAACAATAAAATCCAGTGGATTTTCAGTGGAATAGAATAGAATACAACTTTACTGTCCTCAAAGGTGAAAAATTGTAGTTCATCAAAAGATTAACACATACACACACTCCACATAATAACACTGACAACAGATAGTTTTAGATATACTTGGTACATAAAATATAATATAATATAATACAAAAAGTGAAAATGTAAAATATTTATAGCTGTACTAAAACTACTACTGCTGGAAGGTTAATATTCTAGTAACCTTCCTTTCAGAAAACAAATGTATCAGTGTTCCTCGGCTAATGTTCGATTATTATTCAACAAGTCAAACAGCCATGTATATACCTGGATGGCAGGTGGAGTGGATGCTCTGTGCCTCCTCTTGTAGCAGAGTAAACCACACAGCCTGCGCCAGAGGTAGGAGGCCACCAGACACATGCTGTTGACTAGCCAAATGTCCCAGCCTGCGACAAAGTTTTCCATAGCTTTAACTTTACTCTTCATTCCTTCTTCTATACCCTTGCGTTTCCTATCTTTAACTACAAAGGACCTCTCAGAGCTTAGGGAGAAGACTCCCAAGTGGTGAGTAAGAGGAGATGACAGTTCCTTCCCTGGGTGCGGACCGCCCCAAAGCACTACACTATCCTCCACAGCCTCTGTTAATTCAGTCAACACCCCACTCCCATCAGCACTTAGAGCCAAAGGACGGCCAGTTTGTCCTCATGACAAAAGAGTGACAGGTGCCAACAGGAGACAAGCCACCTCTCTCACATGATCTAATCCCTCCATCTTCACTAGAAAGCATTCTCCTCCTCAAAAACTATATCTGAGTAAACTGTAAGACCAGTCCACCGAAAGCATAATTAATCTTCAACACAGTACTGACACTGAAAACTGAGAGAATTGTGATAGGGGGGCTAGTCTTCCTGTCAACACAGACACTTGGAGGTGGTGCAAATAAATAGCCTGTGCTATTGGATTACTGCTCCAAATGTCACACAGGCTATCACATGAGTGCTTACACTCAACGGTCTCAACTGAAGCAATTTTAGAATAACTTGCATATTTTTGAACCCCAAATCATAGCATGTTGTGTAAATACAAATATAACAACTTTTATTAACTTTTATTAACTATAATTAAACCCAAATTAACAATGAAGGCATAGATGAGGGGTGATATCTTTGAATCAACCTCATAATTTGTACTGTGCAATAATGACACAAGGCACGTATGGCCACAAGGCCCAGAATTAATCGTCTGGCTCACGGTAGCTAATCATAGTTATGTATGACATGTCTGGAAATCTCCCCGTCTTCCTCAGACTTCACAACCAGCTCTGCCAAATACAATAATGAGCTCACTTGTGGATGGGAACTGTGCTCTCGCTGCTCAAATGGATATCTTGGCTGCCACAGAGGGGGTAAAAAAGCAAAACTGGTCTTTGATTACTCACAATGTCTCAGTTTGCTTTATAGTAGACTGCTTAAGTTACAACAGCAACATGTGATTAATTGAATCCCAGATAACATGCTTTCCACTATTTTTGGTGCTATCATTTGGCTCTATGTCATTGACAAAATTGACATATTCAGAGCTATAAATTGCCCTTGCTCTTTGGCACTGAGGTGCTGAGAAGAAATTCAACATCATGGTGTCACATTTTGCCACTTATGTTGTTTGTGTTTGACTGTCAAGGTAAAACCTTATTAAATCATTGCTAAAAAATAGCTGTCAGAGTTGTCTCAAAATATTATTATTTTATACTATTTTAAGAGTGTAGTGCAGTGTAGTTTCTGATAAATATTAAGGAGATCAATAAATGTCCTAGTATATTATTACAGTATCGAGTTATTTAAAAATGTGACAATTACCACCCTCTGCTGGTCCTCCTCCATACTCAAATATATCAGTACTCACTGACATAGCCTGAGTATCTTTTATATGGATTTCATGAGCTGCACAGATACCTCTGGTACAAACTTCATCTCCCAGAAGCAGCGCATGGTTTTCACCTTCTCCAAGTAGGGAAATAAGGCCAGCTTGGTCATGTTTTGGCTGTTGGCACACTGATGAACTGACTTCAGCTTGGCCATTCTCCCAGAGGGAGACACTTGGCTGCCAGCCCTTTTCCTTCTGAGCTCTCTCTCTCCGTCTTCCCGGCCTGGCTGACCTCTCTGGTGTGTTCTTCTTGGCCGGGTCTTTTAACTGAGCAGAGGAGAGGAAGACAGAGAATGGCTGCAGTAAAGTGACACTCAGTTTATAAGAAAATAGCAGCAGTTCAGCCAGATGACAACAGAGTTTGTAAATAACTAAGTTAATAGAAAATCAAATGGAAAAGCAACTGAAACGTCCTACTCGTTAAAGTAATTTATTTCTCTTTTCAAACTGTATTGTAATTTTATAATGTATATTAATGAATCTATCTATTGATTGTTTAATGTCATTAAATAGACTTCCCTTGTTAATATGATATATTTTTCCAATTAAATTATTAATTTGTAAAGTCTCAGTATCAGTTCCATTTTATTCTTCAATTACCAAGATTGAATTCAACATATTAGCCTTCCTCTCACTCCGAGTGCAACAATGTTATAGTTTTTCTATGCTGTGATACCCCAGGATTGATAAAACACATTAATGTATGAATATGAAACATATAGGCACAAAACTGACACAGTTAATGTCTTGAAACTAGATTTTGACACAGGCCCTTCCTTTTTGGGGCCTTTTGGGTCCTGGGGACAGTTGCCCACTTTGGTTATCCAGTCATGCCAATCACATATCAATAATTAATTGCTTTACAACTATATTTTTTGTTTTGTTGTGTTAAAATGTTCATTTGTGAGGTGTTTCATTCATTTCTTTTTTTATTTCTCAGTAAATATCAATAAACGAACTTGCAAAAACCTTGAGTTCCTCCATGGCAAAACTAATGGCTGGTATTTGCTGCATTCAAGTACTACTAGCCTATAGGAAAAAACAGGTTTCCGTTAAAGTTTCAGAAAACTTTTAACCTACAGTGAGATTTCATTTGCAACGTTAGCCAAACTTACCATCCCAAGAGTTCAACCAAAAACAACCAAACTCCACTTTCAGAGTGTCCATCTTTATGTAACCTAGCATTGGTCACGAAAACATAAACAATGTCCTGAGGTCGGACCGTCCCATCAGCACCTGAACGCACCCAGACAGTGACTAAATAACAGGAAGTCCACTAAAAACACAAACCTAAGCGCAAACTGCAAACAATCGAAAGTTTATTCAGAAAGTCAAAAGGAAAAATATCATCTGAGGAAAACATTTAGCCAAAAACAATTCCCCAATGCCTGATCTCAAATCAGTGTTTGGTCACGTGACTAAAAGGGCAAAAGTTTCGCGGGAATTAACATGGCGCACGAGATGACAGCTACAGCAGCGGACTCGGTGCAATGTCCCGTTTGTTTTAAAGACTTCCCGCCTGCCACAATTAACGGACACCTCGACGTGTGTCTGCTGAACAGCGTTACCGACCGCAGTCCGCCGACCGCAGACGGAAGCGAACCTCCATTAAAGAAACCTCGCATTAGCGCGGAGGCTGTGGCACCCAGCTCCACTGACAACACACCCGCGGCCAGCTCCTCCTGCGGCACGCCGTCCTCTGCGGTATTTTCTCTGTTTCAGAACAAGAGTAAAGTTCAAAGTGAACGGGGTGGGTTGTTTGCAAGTAAACAACCCGCTGTCGCTGCTGTCAACAAGGGAATTAAGCGTAATTTGCCGAGCGAGGCGGAGCCCGGACCGGCGGGCACCGAGACTATGAAGAGCCGACCATGTGGATCAAGCGGACAGGCTGTGAAGACATCAAATGATGTATCGCCGCGGAGGCTGCTAACGATAGACAAGCCTCTGGCAGAGATGATGAGACCGAACACACTGGATGAATACTTTGGTCAAAATAAAGTTGTAGGCCAGGAGACACTCCTCCGCTCGCTCCTGGAGACCCAGGAAATACCGTCCCTGATCCTGTGGGGACCGCCGGGATGCGGAAAGGTGGGGTGGAAGAGAGGCAGCATCCTCTACCCGCAGTGCATTTCCCTTCTGTTTTATATGCAGTAGGTAGTATGAACCCCCCCTTTTGGCCGACCCCAGAACTATTAGTCACTATTATCAATGAGAATTATTTAATTTTTGAGAGTTATGTTTGAATCACTTCTCTGACTGATGAAGAGAAAGTGGTGGAGTGGGAATGTAACAGGGGGAAAAGGGAAAAGGAGGTGTTAAAGGTGTTCAGTTAAGATGTGTTGAGAGTGTTTTATTATAAAATGGGTTGAGGCTGTTAATGGAGTTAACAAAAAAGTAGAAAAAGGGTAACTCAAGTTACACTTTTTAATTTATTCCTCTAAAATTAAGCTCTTTATTTTAGGATGCACATTTTCAAAAGCTCTCTTAAATGCAGCCATTATTTTATTTGAAATGAGAAAAATATTTATCATTAGAGTACTTATTATTTATGATCTCTCCAGTTCAATGTGAAAACTGACAATAAATGGTGTAAAAATATTATTAAATTATTCTTTATTTATTGGATTTGTCAGTCAGTTTAGCTACTTAAGTTCACTAAAGTTAAACATTATGAAGTTCTTTGTTTGAGAAAAATGTCTCTCTCTTTGAATTTTAGAATACATTAAAGGAGGACATTATATTACATTATATTCAGCACCACTAATAGGGCTGCAACTGCAATTATCTGTACTATTAGTTAATCAGTGTTTATTTTTTTTAATTAAATGACTAATTGTGAAATTGTAAAAATATTAGTCACTTACAATATAGATAATTTAGTTTATACAATGTTTGATAGGTGTGAAAATAAATAAATAAATGAAAATAGGTTTAAAAAGTGTCAATTAGACATCTAAGAGTTCAAAAGCCAAAAGATACTTAATTTACAATAATACAAAACCGAGACCAGAGAAGCAGGAACCACTAACTGCATTTTTCATGATAAATTACTTCAAAGATTAATATCAGATAAAAGACAAAGTTAAAATATTCACAATGTATCACTTCAGCACAATGTTGGTACAACAAGTAGTTCCTATATACAGTTTCTGCCAGTAATAGTATCTCCAAGCAAAAAAAAAGGACATTTAAAGAATCAAGAAGCACCCTGTTCATAAAAAAATATCCCATAATAATATACTTTTCCTGTTTGTTGTTATTATTTTTTTTAAGATATTGCATGCTCTCTGAACATAGATTAATATTGCCCTTTGCTCTTTTGGAAATGATAAAGTGAGAGTTGAAACTTTTACAGCATGTTGAAAGAGTAAGTTATTACTTCCATGGCTGCCAGCTTGCTGCTTGCAACTGTTGTTTGTCGGACCAGAATACCGCATGTTAATGACTTCTTAGGTATGCCAAGCTACTAGGGTGGATTGTCATACAGCAGCTTGCCATACTTCAACTTTGCCAACATGCTTTATTAACACTTTACCTCCTTAACTCCTTCTGTCCGTTGTCTTAAGAGCGTTCAGGTTTCATAATTGAAGGGTTATTTTTGGAGCTTGTTGTAAGGATTTATTGTTTTTTGCATTTGTAGGGTGATGCTGGTTTTGGTTTCCTTCTGGGACCTCTGTTCTGTTTATGTTTTAATCAAATGACTCTGTATGTGTTGATGTCTTTCAGACCACTCTAGCTCACATCATTGCCAGCACCAGTAAAAAGAAGGGAACGGCTCGTTTTGTCTCTCTGTCTGCCACCAGCGCGTCCACCAATGAAGTCCGAGAGGTCATCAAGCAGGCGCAGAATGAGCTCCGACTGTGCAAGAGGAAGACCATCCTGTTCATTGATGAGATTCACCGCTTTAACAAATCCCAACAGGTGGAGTATTGAGCCGGAAAGATGTGCGCTGATCAGTGTTTGTACTGTAAACTGCACCTCAGTCCAGCCGGTGTTTAAAATAACTATTAAAGCAGAATAACAACACTGGTTTTTAATAATACAGTTTGTCAAGCTGGTGTTTCTCCTCAGTGTATGTGTCAAATAGCTCAAAGAAATAGTTCACCACTTTGAGAAATATGCTTTCTTGTTAAAATTTAGAGAAGAAGAGAAGTTAAATATGAAGCTACGGCCAGGAGATGCTTAACTTAGCTTAGCGTAAAGACTGGAACCACAACAGTGTAAAAAGGAAATTTTTGTGGTTAAAAGGGGGATTATTAGTTGGACTGTTTTATGATGTTGTTCCCTCCTTCTTTGCAGGAATAACTGGACAGTTTGCATGTTAGCCTGTGTGTAGCCTGTCTTTACTGCTCCGTTATGAGAATGTGCTGACTCAAAATAAACACTCAGTTGAAGCCATCTCAAACAGTACCCACCAGATCCTTTGTTTGATTCTTGGAAACAATATTATTGTTAGTGAGACAGTAGAAGAAGAAATATATTCTATTCTGTTTTTAAACTGTGTAGCACAAATAATCTTTCTGTTATTTATTCACAAACTGTTTAATTGAGGTTGGAAACTGGCTGTAAAATATAATTCTAAGGCTGTGTGGAGTCTTGTGTTACAGTCCCTATGTCAGCTTGCAAGGAAGCTCAGTCAGGCTTAATGAGCTGTTAAGTAATGTTAGTGTTGTCAGACGGGTAGGCAAACAAACCACTGAAGCAATATGGTAGTGAAACAAATACTTACTCTTGATGTGTTTTAAGATAAAGATCTTTTCCTTTTCCCTCTATGCAGGATACCTTCCTTCCTCACGTGGAGTGCGGGACGGTAACTCTGATCGGGGCAACCACAGAAAATCCGTCCTTCCAGGTGAATGCCGCCCTGCTGAGCAGGTGCAGGGTTCTGGTTCTAGAGAAGCTTTCTGTGGAGGCTATGGGCTCGATCCTGGACAGGGCTGTGGCCACGCTGGGGATCAGAGTCCTGGAACGAGATCCAGCAAATCCCAAAGAGGAAGAGCGATCAGATGGACACGAGTAAGTGGTCCCCTGGGGACCGAGCCCTCTGTGTCACACATCATGACCAGGTGTTTCGAAATCCTCTGGTCCTGGATTAGTGGGTTCAGTTAGATAATATATGGGAGGAGTGTACTAGTAGTTGTTGGAGCTGCAGCAATCCCCTCTGCTCTGCTCTGCTCTGATATGTTGACAGAAAAGAATTTGCATATGAGTTGTAGACAGTGAGACAGATGTTAACTGCTGGCTGCAGATGCTGCGTGAAGACAAACTTCACAAGTATAATCAAATGTTTGTGTCAGATGTATTGTTTGGGATGCTCTGGAATCTGGTCCTGTAACCCATAGAGAGATTAAAGGGTTAGCCAGCTAACTCGAGGTTTAAACCAGAATGAGGCTGGCTCACTTTTATCTAGCAGTTATCAGAGCATACTGAACATTGCTGAAGTACCAGCATCAAGGCAGACACCAGAGATATTGATGATGCTTCCTGTTGAAGACAGCCATCATTGGGTCGAGTTTTTCACCGTTCGAGTTGCTTGGGGTTCTGATGAGCTAAAAACAGTGGCACTCTTCAGAGGGATTGTTCTGACAGCCCGAGAGGAGGATGATAAGAAGTGATGCATATGTCTGCTTTCTTTGGTGGATTCCTAACAAACACTTATCTGACTGTGTATCTTTGAATTCATGTAATATGATAAGGCTGCAGTGAATACTTGAAAAACATTCTATTTATTTAACTGACTATATTTAAATGTATTGACGCTGATACAGTATATCCAATCTGTGTTATTATTTTCCTAGGCCCAAGATTTTCATTGAACAAAAAGCTCTGGACACCATAGCCTATCTTTGTGATGGTGATGCAAGAACAGGGCTCAATAGTCTGCAGCTGGCTGTTCAGGCTCAGGTGAGCTCAGTCCAGCCCAACCAGTTCGGACCAGATGGTTCTGATGAAATACTTGTGAAGGAGGTGCACATCAAGGAAGGACTCCAGAGGTCCCATATTCTCTATGATAAAGCAGGTAAGCCCAAATGTACTTATTTTATCATTGTTACAGTTTTTGCTGACACCTGGGTCTCCAGTGATCTGAGAGGTGCCAAGTGCAACTTCGTGGGCACCCTAGATCAGATCATCTGGAATATTTCATCATAAACTGTAAACCTTTTTACTCCCCCCGTGAGTTTGTTTCATTCATTCTGGTCGGTGTTTACATTCCACCGCAGGCCAACGTGCAGGAGGCACAGTGCAAGCTCGCCGACCAGATACTG